GAATCTTCCGAACTACCTGAAATGTAAAAAAGAAAAACTCCTCGAATTTTCACATCCCCGTTCGACGCCTCTTCACCGTGAGCAAATGCGCTCCACCGTCAGGAGGCCAAAGGGACTTACGTAGCAATAAATATTGATGGCAACACTGTCTCTACACAAGTGTTACATACAAGGGGGGGGTCGTATCAAATCACCCATGAAGGGGGGGGGGTCGTAAAAAATTTCCAAAGAGTAACAACGATAGGGTTGACCCTGCTCCCAACATCAGCAATAGGAAAAGGGGCAATCGTCATCATCGAATTTTGTCTGAGTATAGGCCATGCATCCGACCTCACTCGAAGTTGCAGAATCGATTCGAAGGTGTCATATGATCATGACCAGTTGACAGAAGCTGCATTGTAGTAAACGCATTTCGTAACTCCTACAACCTAAAGAACAACTTCATTTGCCCAGGGCTTTTCCTTCACGGTTGTCGTTTTTGCGACAGGGTCCCTAACAACAGTGTCATTCTCAGCGAGGTATTAAGGGAGAAGGAGCGAGCGATAGGCAGAGGAGGTGCCTTTGCAGCGCGTGCGCACATGTGGCAGTCTTCTTTGCGGGGATGCACTTTGTACTGCCTTCAAATACGCCCTTCTCATGAAGGTGGAGGAATGGAGCGACTGAACCTGCAAAGAAAATTTAATATCATGTTTTTTCAGATATTTTCATTTTCTGCTGCGCTATACCCTCTTACCTATCTGCACCACGATACCACTGCTGTTACTGACCCCCAAGAGTACGACCCCCCATGACCAGCCCGACAGGTACGACCCCCCTGTCGAGGATTTCCTCGACCGATATTCACCCTGTATTCGAGCTTCTGCGCCGAAGTGATTTGATTTGGAAAATTCAAATTATTCTCTCTCCAACCATGGGTAAAAATTCTTCGAAAGTTAATTTAATAAAAATTTAGTACGTTGTTACTTTTTTCTGTGCAAATGCGACTTTTTAACTTTAAACGATCATAACTTTTTAGTATGGTGCTGTCCCGAAGCCTCATAAAGATCTGAATGTTAAACAACAATTAGAGGCTCCAAAATTTATTTCAAAAAGCTTCAAAACACTTAATTTCGAAAGCTTTCCAAAAACTTGCAATATTTCGGTGCTTAGCACCTTCGTCAGGCCTGAAATAGCTTTTCTCACACAGGGTAAGTTTGGAAGCTGTACTGAGGCGAACGCGTGTGAGTTGTTTCAATATATCCGTATATTGTCCGCTTGTGTGAGAAAAGCTATTTCAGGCCTGACGAAGGTGCTAAGCACCGAAATATTGCAAGTTTTTGGAAAGCTTTCGAGATTAAGTGTTTTGAAGCTTTTTGAAATAAATTTTGGAGCCTCAATTGTTGTTTAACATTCAGATCATAACTTTGTTCAAAGTCATTCATTTGGGAAGCTGAACACGGTATAATAAACTACAGGATTCAAGCTTTCTAACGAGCACCCAAGCGTTCCTGAAAGATCAGTAGTTCAAAAATTAGTCCCGTTGTTACTTTTTTGGGGGTTTGCGTTACTATTTTTTTGGAACCGCGACTTTTTTACCTTCAAACGATCATAACTTCCTTCAAAGTCATTCATTTGGGAAGCTGAACACGGTATGAATAAACTACAGGATTCAAGCTTTCTAACGAGCACCCAAACGTTCCTGAAAAGTCAGCAGTTCAAAAATTAGTCCCGTTGTTACTTTTTTGAGGGGTATTCTTCAAGCCATTTTCCCGAAAACGCGGGTTTTCTTAGGTTTCACTGCCCGTAACTTCTTGGAAGACCAATGTCATGTTTAATTTAGGATGTGCTAGAAAGCTTCGAGCATGCGCTTGCACTACATCCCTTGCCTTGGTGCGCGCCACGCCTCGGGCGCCCTTCTAATTCGCTGATTCATTTGAAAGCTCATTTAGAGGGAAGCGTGGTTTATAGATGCTCTAGTATCAGTCATCTTACGAAAACGTAACGTGCTGGCTATTATCCGATATTACCAAGAATCCCACTGCCGGCCACCGAGAGGGTACGACCCCCCTCCAAGCTCAACTGAGTACGACCCCCCGTTGTTACTCGTAACAACGTAGGGTTGACCCTGCCAAGGACCAGTCTATTTCGTCACCATGTGGCTAAGCCTTGGAGGAGCAGCGCGCCGCGCCGCTGCGTGATCCCCAACCCACCTAGCACCAAGGTCAACCCTGCGTTGCGTAAATTCCAAAATTTTTACGACCCCCTTCCCTTTCGGAGGGTTTCGGTACGATCCCCCCATATGTCTTCACATAACTTAATGCTCATCATTGATGTAGTATGCTGGGTGAATAACGGTCGAGGAATTCCTCGACCATCGCTCTCTGCTGTGCGAGAGTAGAGCCGAGAGTGAATGTACGCGCGGAGAGCACAGACGGCTCGCGGGTGGCGAGAGTGAATATCCGCGCGCGAGAACGTAAAGGATCAGGCGAAAATCCTCGACGTGCCGTTGAGGAATCCTCAAGCAATATTCACCCTGGTAGTATGGGCAGTCACAGAAGTTGTGGACCGTGGTCAATCCGCGCGCTTTGTCTCGCTCAGAGGAGGGAATCGAGGCAACATGAAGTTTTATTCATTAAATAGAAGGAATTTCCAAATTTTTGCGTAAACCAATACATCATTTTAATCACAAAGATTTCTACTTTCAGAAACCTACCAGTTTTTTTCGATCTCTCAATTTTCCTTATTTTATAATCTGAAAAACTAAACCTTGTAGCAATTACGTTGCAATACAAACCCCTCCATTCAGAAGGTTATATTTTTCTTCAGAAGCGGTCTCATGGAACCGGACACCAAAATTTTAAAAATTCAAATAGTTTTCTTCCTAAAAAGTATTTGAAATGTTGCGGATGTTCAATATTTCAAAAAATCGTCCCGTTGTTCCGTTTTTTGTGCACACGCGAGTTTTCGACATTCAAACATTCATAACTTTCTTCATAATCAACTTTTTGCAATGTCTAAGGCTAATTAGAAACTAGAAGATTAGAGCTTTCGAACAAGCACCTGAAACTTTTCCAAGCGATCATTCTCTCAAAAAATAGTCCCGTTGTTCCGTTTTTGGGGGGTTTGTGGTCCGATTTTTGAGAAGGCGCGAGTTTTCGACATTCAAACGTTCATAACTTTCTTCATAATCAACTTTTTGCAGATGTCTAAGGCTAATTAGAAACTAGAAGATTAGAGCTTCGAATAAGTGCTAAAACTTTTTGAAATAATCACTCGCTCAAAAAATAGTCCCGTTGTTCCGTTTTTTCCCTTGATTTTTTTCAAGCCATTTTCCTGGACCGCGACTATGCAGTCTTCAAAGGCCCATAACTTCCTTCAAAATTATGTGATGAGAAGCGGTAAAGACTGTTAGAATCTACTCGAAGAGTACTACAAGTGTAAAATTTCCCTGAAATTCTTTCTTCTGCCTCAATTTCCTAAGGGGTCTCTAGAACTCAATTCAGCAAGTTCGCTACACTTTGTTCCGCTTAGATTTGATTTGAAAGCATCAAAATTCTCTTCAGGAAGTTTGTCTGCTTACGGCCGCTGACAGAGAAGGCGTTTTTATGGGAAAACGCCTGCTCGGGTATACGCCGTGCACCTGTCTGTGGACAGAAGTCGCACTCGCATTTGAAAGTCCTCCATTTTCCTGAAGAAGGTGTTAGTATCGTGATTGAGTTGCATTGTACTGTTATATGGTACTCTTGTTTCACTTCCCCATGAACTGCTCTACACTTTGTTCTCCTTGGGATTTCAGGAATGTTCGATCATCGAAGACAGACCATGTTTTTGCACTTGTTTTTGGCTATTGTAATCTTGATCTATGCTGTCGAGCGAAAGCGCCGTCCGTGTATTAAGGATAATAATGGCTGATAGTGAGACTTATAATGCTCTGCATGCTCTAATGCTCCCATGGAGCTCTTGTCTGTGTGACTCTCCGACAGCTGCACGGTGCAGAGCTCCTGGAGAACATTAGAGCGTGAAAGTGCACTCCCGGACACTGCACTTTTCAAGCCGTCTTGCAGCCCGTCTTCTGGATACGACCCCCTCCCTTTTCGGTCGGCTGAATACGACCCCCTCGTTGTTCTTTGCGCAACGGGCGGTTGACCCTGCTTAGCACCCGCATCGGCGAAACTCGGGTTCGAGAGGGGGGCACGCGATGGTCGTCTGCTCCTCCAAGGCCTAGTCCACAGGGACACGACTCTTTCGCCATTATGTGGCAGTTTCAAAATACGCGCCATTGGTGACCAAGCCTTGGTAGAGCAGATGAAAACAGCTCAACGCCATAGCGTGGCCCTCCGGACCCGAGTTTCGCCCCCGCATCTGACCAACGAGGCGACCGAGACGTACTTAGGCCCTGTTCAGAGATGTCCGCCGGCGCGAAAAAACGCACAGGCGAAAATCTCCGCCAAGATTTAGATACGCATCGACTGAGAAATTGTGAAACGCGTAAGCGAAACGTCCGGAGCAGGCGAATTTCAGTCAAGAGTTTGATATGTATCGACTGTGAGAAACGCACAGGCGGAAAATCGCGTGAGCGAAGCGTTCGTAAGTCGATGCGTATGATACTCATTTTCGTCGATCCTCCCACTTCACGATTCGCCTGTGCGTCTTCGTTCAGTCGATACATATTTCACATTGTTTCGCCTATGCGTTTTTTCGCGCAAGCGGACATCTCTGAACAGGGCCTAACGCTGTGCGAGCGGTTCCCATGTGAGCGACATCAAAGTTCAAAGGACGCCTTCCAACATGGCATGCAAGGTCCCGTAGCGAAGGTGGAACTTTCATTGCGGGTCCCGTACTTTTCGAATGTTGAGGTACTTGTTGTGCCTTGTATTTTCTGTTTATTGTTTTCATTGTGGTTGGCTGTGTTTTTTTTGTATTGTGTAATCTATATGTCTGTACTCCAACTGAAATTTTTTGTGGATACAGTGCGCACCCGATAGGTTGTTGAGTCGGCAGATAATTGGTTTATTGATTATATGCTAACAATTTCTCTGCTAGTTCAGGAAGTTGTAAGTAAACGTTCTCCGGTTTTTGGCAATACAAAGTCAGGAAAATTCAAGATGGTTGGTTTATTTTTTCGTAATCTTGCAAGCAATACTTATTCTTTTTCTTGCGAGTTCGTGCTTTGGTAACAATTGCTGATCTTATAACACTACTGCAACCCCTAGTACAGCCTCAAAAGTAGTCGCAATTTTCATGGAACGACGGAACAGTGTTAAGGATGTGTTCTCAATCATGCCATCGAATAAGCTCTTCACGTGAAATCAGCAAAAAAATGGTGTTAGGGGTTGTAATAGTGCGAAGTACAACATGCAAGCTCAAATCTTTTTTTAGACGATTAGTAAAAACAACAAGATGATGGCTCACCTGAACTTCAGAATGAAAGTTATCCTGCAAGACTCTCGCACTTTTGTGGGCTACTTCAAAGGTATAGTTACAGTTGTATCCACTTCTGCACAATCTCCATTTTATACGTTTTCCAATCGATTTTAATTACAGCCTTCGATAAGCACATGAACATTTTGCTCGCCGATTGTGAAGAGTTTCGTCAAATCAAGCCCAAGCCTGGAAAGAAGGTATCATTCCTTTCGCTCAACATGTACACCTTTACACACATTGTTTATGCATGTATGTTAGGCTCATGTCAGAACAATTGGCAAAAGCAATTTCCGCGACTAGCGCTGTTCTTGAGGATCGCTTGTGCCATTTGCAGAAGTCGCGGGATTTGCTCCAATCGCGGCAACGATCGGTTATCACTGGTTGGTACGCCAGGGTCGACGGACTACTTGAACTCAGCCCTTTAAACCGCCTCTGCGCTCTCTCGCGGGTCCCTCTCCTCTCCAAGGCTTAGTCCTAGGGCATTCACCCGTTCTCTAATCGTCTGTGCTCTAGCCATCGCGGCAGGACCATTGAGGAAAAATCAAGTAGTCCGTAAACCGTACGCCAGCCATTGGATTAGCATGCCTCCCTTTGTCCTACTGTAGCTGCCAATTGATATTGCGGTTTTTCTCAGTACACCTCATCAAAGCCTTAATACAATAACTATGAATTGTTTTGGCTGTGAGCACTATTCTCTGAGGGATTGCGCTGCTCAAGTTGTCTGAAGCGTGGGTTCAGAGGGGGAAAGCGGGTCCTAGTATGACGCAACATTGAGAGCCAAAAAAGGCGTTTTTTTTTGGTAAAGGGTATTACCTTTAGAACAGCTGAAATTGATCTCCCGTTCTCTAATCGTCTGTGCTCTAGCCATCGCGGCAGGACCATTGAGGAAAAATCAAGTAGTCCGTAAACCCAGTCCGGACTGGTTTACGGACTACTTGATT